TTTGTTTTTTTTGCTAACAGATGCGATTATCCACATATATTTACCTTTCGTAATGCTTTATAACTTATCTACTGTGCTTTTATACTTAATTTCGGGTTTTACAAGAATTAAAAACTCACATTTAAAGGGTAAGAAGGTTGATTTCGTCTGCGGCTTTGGAGTCTTTTCCATCTTGGCATTCATACTTTTTTCTATGGTTGAAACAATTGAATGTTTTCAATTACATTATTCTTACAGTTTCTTACTACACATCTGAAGTGCATTTTATGGATTTGTAATTGAAAAAATCACTCGGACCTTCAACATTGGGATTTTTAGCTTTATCTTCCATCCCTTTGTCTCTTTCCTCCAGTCTTTGAGGAGGTCTGGGCACCTCTAAATGACACAAATAGTCAGCCCAGCTCTAGCTCGAGTGTGAGTTGCCAAACGATGGTCTCCACGACTGCCGCATCGACTACATTCACTCACAGCACTTCTACGGCAGCCTTTACTAAGGAACCTGGTGCAACGGCGAATGCCAGCTCCATGCTGGCTGGGCCGGACGCAGTTCCCGTCCTTTCTGGGCCTGTGCCCAGCCCCATCGGCTCAGGACAGGCTGAGCTTGAGGTTGGTTCTCCGGCCCAACATCAGCCTGACTCCACAACACAGGGCATTCCTTTCACTTCCTCTTCCAGGCGACCAGGTTCTCACTCTCGGTCGCCTTCACCCATTCCCTCATCCGGTTTTGTCTCCACATCTGGTCGAGGTTTAGCTGCCCTGACTCCGCCTTCGTGCGATGCCTTGGTTCCGGGCCCAGCCTCTTCCGTGAACCAACCGACTCGATGGGGACGTGGGTCTACATTGCGCCCGCTTGCGGCGCCCCGAGGGCGTTTTCAACGAAACTCGCCTGCAGATCAGGAGCCCCCATCTCCGGCCGTTCCTGGTCTTCGTCATGGAGAGTCAATAGATGAGGTAAAAACATTCCCACTAGGAGAGTCCTTGTTGACATGTTAAGCGAAGTTTCGCAAGAAAATATTTTACTCTGAAAGATTTGGAATTTATCTTCCTATTCTTTTAATATATACCGTTTCCTTCATTTTATCCAACTTCCTTGCGCGCTCATATAAGTGCACCGATACTTGTTTGTTACTCGTTTGGGCACAAATTTCATTTATTTCCATGACTGCTTTCGTCTTTAATGTGGCTAGATTTTGACTGTTCTCCAATCTTTACCTAGCTTTGGCTTCCCTGCAATTTGGGTGATGTGTAATCTCGGCTTGCTTAATAACCGCTCTACTGCTACCAAGGGAATGTGCTTATTTTACTAGTCTTTTGAGTTTTTACTTATTCATTGTTGCTTCATACATGACGGTGATTGGACTATGTAAACCTCTATTCACAATCCTCTCAGGTATCGATTTATCAGTCACAAGGAAGGTATGTTACGTTCCACCTAAAAATGCAATACTTAAACTCACAATTTCTTCGGGTGAACAGCTCTGGTAGGGCAAAGTTAATATTCAGGAGAGAAAGCTACTTGATTTGCATATTTTATCTTTTTTTTAATAATGTCTAACAAGAAAAATTTGGCTACTGTATTTGCATTTTTAGCATCTTAAAGCATAAAGATTATTTTTTGGGCATTTTTGCTAACTATTTTATCAAACTAGATCAAGGCTTATGTAATATACTGTTTGCTTCCTTTAAATATCAACTAATCCTCTGTAAGCTAGCATCACTACGCATCTTCTCTTCTTAGAAATCCTATGGCCATGTTACTCGATTGACCGCAAGCTGCACATTTTTAGTATTTGTGAGTCACAGCGGTCACAGCTAGATCCAAGCCTTTAATTAGAATGTATTTTTGAGAGACAGATTTAAACGACAATCAAGAGTCAAGTCAGCTCCTAAACCTTGTAGAATCAAGTAATTCCTAAAATGCATCCACGGCGGCTCACTACTCTTTCATTCTTTCAATCAAGCATAACTAGTTCTCACTCAACCTTCTACCACCATTCCTAACATTAAACGAATTTCTCAATCTTTTATTTTCAATAGCCTCTCTTATCTTCCTTTTAAAAGCATTCGCACCATAATTGGCAAGCCTACGTGTTTGAGATCATTTAATCTCACGTCCAGTCTCCGCCAGGTGTTCTGCCACTTCTGAACGTTTGAATCAGCTGCATTTACAGGCATTATTATGTCCACTTTTTCTTTGGCTAGTAAGCCGAAAGGTATTATCAACACTCTTGTGGCAGCCGGATCTTGATAATGGATCATATTTCTCTCTAAAAGTTAGCATAATCCATGAAAGAATGAGGGTTTATTTTAACATTATTTTTATCCTCCCCTTTCTTACTAATTCGCCTCTTCTCTTACGACATATTGTGTTCTATTACTATTGCTAGCCTAATATTCCTTTTACGTAAAATATGTTAGAGAATACGTTGAATGTTCGGAATGGCGGCAGAAAGTTGAATATGAACTACTTATGTTTGATTGAAGGATAGAGACGGGTGAGCAGCCATCCAGAAGAAGACAACTTAACCCGTCTGTCCAATAATGATTCCAACTTGAAGATTAAACTTATCAACCAAACCAGACGTACGAAATCACGCAATCCCGTTCATGCTGTTCCTTGGGTCGTCAAACTTTAATGACTAGACCGGCGGGTTATGATGGGTTTTTTTCCTAACCTGGCATACACTTGTATCAGGGTATATCACAATATATCAATTAGGAAGACTTATAAGGAACGCACCTAGTTCGGAGTCCATTTCCAGAGGACTAGGTGCGTTCCTCTAAGTCTTCCTACCAATATGACCAAGTTGCGAGAACAAGGTCAAAAAACTTTTATGTAACGAAAGGAGACTGCGACCACACAAAAGGCCATACCATCTTGGTCTTCATACATTCGATATCAATTAGGGTTGTATGTAGACATACACAGTCTCGGTCAGGGCT